TATATGATTGTTTGCCGAGATTATTCAAATTGCAGGGATTTTTGAGCAATTGAGCTCAGTGAATCGAGCTGGGTGGAATGTATTTGCTGGGTTCTATTCTGTCGAACTTCAATCTTGAAAATGGAACGGGTTCTGTTTTGTCGAACTTTAATCTTGAAAATGGAAAGAACATTGATGTGGAAAACAATAACAGACGAGAAAGAAGCGATTCTTAGTGGTGATGTGGGACCCATTTGATGGATTTGGTGCGTTTTCAGCCGGAGAACATGTGATATGGCAAAAATTTTATACAAATCATCACCTTTTTAAGTTTTGATTTCCACGTCATCAAAAAAAATATAAAAAATGCCACCTAACCCGGGTTAACGGCTCAAACTAACAGAAGGACTAACGGAGTGCATTTCGTATAGTTGGGATCAAAAAAAGTGCAAAAAATTGTTAAGGGACCAAAAATGTGCAACTCACTAAAGTTGAGGGACCAAATCTAGCATTTAACCTTCCTCGTTTCTCCTCATCAGATACACCTATTATTATTGCAAAAAAGAAAAAAAAAATCCCAAATTTTTTTCAAGTCTTAAGCCTCACTGCATCGGTTATCCTTCGCTCCACCGATATCGGCTTCTCCCTCCTGCGAACCTGCCTGCAGCCATCGTCTCTCCTCCTCTGGTCATAATCGTCATCTCCCATGGCTTCCAAGTCCTTCAATCATAACCAAGCTTCCACCTCTTCCCTCATCTCCGATTTCTCCTTCCATTTCCGATTGCTCTGCTCATCTTCGATCTCTAATACATGGTCAGCTGAGACGGCCGGAGGCGAGTGAATGTCAAAATCAGCGAGGATGCGCGCAGATCTGCAGATAGGTGGTGGTGGTGGCAACTACGCGCGAATAGCTGCAAAACTTCAAAATTCCGAACTAGTTCAACTGCCACATAAGTTCTTGATCTGCAGGCGGTAACTGCAGCCGTCAAGCTTGATTTGTTCTTCAACGAATTTGGCCTCTTATCAATTTTGATATGAGGCCAGTTCTGGCACATCAAGGCCCAAAAATAATATCATGGATCACTGGAGACAGGTAAATACAAGGGAGCCCGCCAACAGCTCATTGCAGGCCTTGGATCGTGAATTAGGATTGGGTTTATGGCAAGGGTAGGTGAGAAATTGGACTAGAATTTTTAGGATTTTTAGGGTTTTTCTGAAATGTATAAAAGGGTGGCTATGGTTGTTAGATTGGGGCTTTTGGATGGGGGGAATTTTTTTGTTTTTCTTTGGGGAATTTTTTCGGTTTTCTGGAGGAGGCAGTCCTGGTGGTGCTGGACCAGGAAACCAGAAGGAGAAGAGGCATTTGGGACTGGATTTGGGGATTTTGCTTTTTGATTACCTTAGGTAACCTTCTGAACAGGGGTTTTTGGAGAGGTAGCAAGGGAGATTGTCGGGGCCTGAATCTCACCT